CCCATTGCGGGTTAAACAGAACCGTCGGCAGCGTGGCATGCGACACATAACACAAAAATACAAAGTCTTGTGCATGCATTATTGTTTGGGGCGAATGTATTGCATATCTTTTGGCCGCCGGCGGTGGCGATTCGGAGCGCGCGACACATTCGAAAGCGCCCGCGGCGGCTTACGACCCTCGGGAATAATAAACCGTATCATCAGCAGCTCATGATGAAAATTTAATGCTGCCGCGGGTCAAACGGCGAATTTATTGGATTAAATTGCGCCACAATGTTTGGCGGCTCCTAAAATTAATTCAATTTGCGTGTGATGCACTGTGATTTAGACGTGAAAATTGGGGTTAATGCTTTTTGACGTTGGATTTGCCAAATTTGCTGGCCGTGGTTTAGCGATGAATTATAAAATTCCAAAGTTGATGGCAACTTTATTGAAAAAAGAATGAAAAATAATTTAAAAATGTATGCATCAAGGTAGACATCACATTTAAATGACTTTTTTTAAATGGCTTTTTGAAAGGGATTTCCATGAGTGAAAGATTAAATCATTAAAATCATAAGCAAAATCAACATTGAAACCCCAAATCAAGAAAGAAACAAAAAAAATCCTTATAATCATATTGGCTGTCGCTAGGAACCCGAAATTGAGCTTATTTTTGAGGACAACAATTGTTTTATTAATTATTACTGACAAACTTCTTTCTTGAAGGCTGATCAATTGGTAGACATTTATTTTACAAAAATTTAATTACTGTATAAATCAGCTTTTGTAATTAACTTAAATTTAAATGAAATCAGTGATAATAATATCAATAAATATTATTTGCAACTAAAATTATTTCATACTAACTGATTACTGGAGCTGTATTTAAATTTATACGAACTAATTGATTTAAATATTTATTGAATTAAATTAACAGCATGCGTAGAACGGGATATCAAGAATTAATTTGTGTTTTACAAGGTAACACAACTTTCGAAACGCTTTTCCTGCACGAAACGGGTAGTGAATTACGACGTGATATAGCCACAACCAGTCGCGGCTGATGAAAATTAGCCCAGTGTTTAAAGAATTTTTGATGAATTAATTTCCCTGTAGTAGCTCGTGGCCCGCAACCATGCAGGCGTGCAGCGTAATTTATTTTTTTGAACGCGCCCTATTATGTCAGCACGCAAAATGAACGAAACAGAAAATAATAATTGATCGCGCAGGCGAACGCAAGGGTGGCAAGGGTGAATAGCTGCACAATGGTGGACGCTCTTCCTTATACTTTTAATGTTGAGCGCCACACAGGCTTTGGGGGATCAACCACTTTGCGCTCATTACACGCCAAAAGAAAGAGAGTGGAGCGTGAAAAGAGGGTTGGCCTCTTTTTATATATATGGGCAATCTATGGAAGGGTGCTTTGCATTTTCCGCACACAAGGCGCAATCTATTGAAATATCTGCACTCTGGTCGGATGGGAAATGGGAAGAGAATTGGAAAGCGTTTTGGGAGACACTTGGGCATGAGGAAAATTTCTTTTAGAGGAACATTAGCATCTGTGTTTAGTGAGAGAAGGGAAAATGGAAATGGATTTTTCAAAAACTCTTTCTTTCGATAATTAGAAATCTCACAATTTGATTAATTGTTGTAAATACACATTAATCCTGCTAGAATTTATAAAATAAGTTTTTCAATGTTTACTCATTAAATAAGTATACTAGCTTAATTTATACAATTCAACTTATCCACCAGTTATAGCAAGTTGGACAAAAATTTCTCCATATAAATATATAATTAAGAAAATAAGTTTAAATAAATTGCAATTTTAAATAAAATAAAATAATAAATAAAATGTATTTTACTGACGTTAATATGTAAATAATAGTGTTTAATTTATTTTATTACTGTTCATGCACCAAATCTCACAATAGTTTTGTGCAAAATAATGATCTTTATTATTTTCTAAAAAAGAGATACTGCATGTCTAGAAAATGTGCTGCCATATTATCACGCCCGAAAGCGAATTGCGTGGCAGGTTGACAGACAGAAGAAATCAAAAGTGAGTGAAAGTGACGCAAACATGTTGATGCCATCGCGAGACTGCTGCAGTTAGGACTGGTATCAATTTCTCTCCCTCCGCGGATGAACCCTCGCCGCGCACACGCCCTTTCGTCTCCCTGTTGGTGATAAAGTCCCCTGGAGCCTGTTTTTCTTCAGATGGCTCCACGAGAGCGTGTTTGTGTTACGCGAGCCGAGTTTATCAAAAGAGACACGGCCAGTGAAAATGACACGTTGACACCAAATGCGTGTCTATTTGCGGCCGAGAAAAATCAATTGGCGCGAGTGGCGCTTCTTTTCGACGGGCGCTTTCGTCTAATGAAATTCCTCCTGACGCCCTTTTCTTCTCACCGAATTGCTTCCTCCTCATTGAAAATCAGTCAATACAATGCATTATTACATAAATTTATAACGGCAAAGCGATTTCGTCCCTTCCCCTCAATTGGGTTGCGATTTTGTATGGCCTTTCATTTTGCGAAGAGCAACGCCTCGCAACTTTTACCACTTATTTTTGGTGACACTCGTGCACCGAAACAACTACTGCTTCCACGCATAACATCAGATAATATTCAACGGGGACATATTTTCCACCCGGTCGAATCTGTTTTATGCTCCGTTTTCCAATAGGTGGCTTGGTTGTGGTACGAAAATAAAAAGCCTGTCATTTTGATTCACGGAAAAGGAAAAAGTGTTTCCATTTTCATGCTCCGAGCCGATTATTTTCTACGCGTCCAAAACGGTCATTGGTGCCGTAAAACTCCTCTTCTTTGGGTCAAGCAGGATTAATTTATTTCGCCCCTGCGTGCAGATAAAGGGCAAAGAAAAAGAAGTTCAATGCCGAACTCATTTCCATCGTTATTCCTGCAAACAACTGCGCCCTTATCAGAAAAGAATTTCACGTTGATAGTCATCATTCTATTTCAGTTCACAATATTATAATATTTTAGAATAAGAGATATTACAAATTTTGATTTGGAAAGTTGTTCAAAAATAGACAGGAAAAAGGTCTTTTCATTTTAAGATTTATTCCTTTCTTGAATTGAGAAAAAAAAATTGATAAAACTTCAACAATTTTGTGATAAATAATTTCAGCATTTTTCTTAACTGATCCAATATTTAGTTTTCAAAACAATCAGGCCACTTATTAAAATAAACATAATACAGTTAAAAATATCTAAAATATTTTTTCCCTGTGCTTATTTTCTAGCCTTCAGAAAAAACTTGCATTTTTTTAATCTTTTAATGTTTAACCGGTGGATTTTCCTTTACCATTTTTTTCAGGCCTAAATTTGGGAACCTACCATAAAAAAAAACTTTCATCAAGAGAGCGGTTGATTTTCAAAATCCAGAGTTTCTTTTTCTAAAGTTTTCTACTTCTTTCTAGATTCTGTATGAACCATGATCTTGTTTTTAAGGGTTGAATTTTTAACCTTTAACTTCCGAATTTTGAAATAAACTCTAAATCTTTGCATTCAATAATAACCATAAGAATTTCTCTGCGGCAGAATGAAATATGGCTATGCTGGCAGACCTTTGTGCGCAGAAAGATGGGTGTAATCATCTGGGATCAGGCGAGAGTCGACGTGCGTCGTTTGCTCAAAAGCGGCGTCTCTAGATTGCACCCCAAACACAATTTTGCACTTCCCGGATTACGAAACGTGCGTGAAATTCGTTTTCGGTTCAGAAATTTTACTACTCCTGGCAAGGATGCACTAAAATCCGAAATCGTCCCATAACACGAGACGCATGCACACATTTTATAGTTTTGATTTACTATTGCGGATGAATCGGTGTTTTATTGGCGGTAATTCGTGTTTGATTTATTTATTTTTCTCGTCTCCTGCAATAAATATGCCAGCTCGCTAATAACATTGCCCCTCTTTTGTTTCCCCAGAGCCTGGAACGCAAATTCAATACATGGAGGCACCTTTGAATGCATGCAGGAAATTCATTTGCTTTATTGGTACACACCATGCATCGTAAAAGGCCGACGTGCCTTTTGCTCGCTCGCCGGTCCGCTTTGTAAACTCACCTTTGCCGACTACGTTTTCAATGCTTGAAAAATAATTTAGACCGAATGTGTAATTTCAACTACAGCACAAAACCATTAGAGCGTGGTGCAGAATTACTGCCAATTATAAGAGCCGCTGCTGGAAATGTTTACGACGCGGATTTAAATTTACGATCTGTTTTCCCGTCTGCTCGCGGAAAGGAGAGTTTGTCGGTCGTCCTGAGTGGCTGCGTGACAGAATTTTCAAATACGCCAATAAAGAATCTGGCAACCTTAAATATTTCTTGATCAACATGCAAATGAATTAAATTGCAAGTTTATAGAGTTTTGAACTTGTTATTTAAACTACTTTACTCCAACTTGAGAATACTTGATTTAGTATTGCAGCAACAGATTTTTTCGTCACTAACAGAAAAAAATTACTACCAATTTTCCGCGCGCAAGGACGTCTTCCTGCATGCAATAGCAAAGTGAAAATGCTCAAGTGGAGGAAAAGTTGAAAGCCGCAGTTAGCAACAGAGAGTCCAATTGTGGATTGAAATATCCGTTCAATAGACATTCCCTCTTTCCTTTTTATAGGGGTGACCTTATTCTTATTAAATGTTCAGTCTGGGAATGGATAGCAATCGCATGAGGGTCTGCGTGAGGGAAATTTTTCATGCTCGTTGCGCATTTTCTTTCACTCGATACAACGGAGAATTGTGCCAACGACGCCGATTTTATTTAGCGCATTTCTTGCATACTCTACACCGATCGATGCCCATTGGAAACAAACGTTCCGAAACGAAGCTGATAAAAATTCTGAAATGACCATTCAGAATTCTACTCCCTGCGCTCTCATGAATTATTGATCTAAATAAGAAAATACTTGTTTAAAAAAAAACATTTAATTTAATAAATTGTCCACCATCGCATTTAACTAATTAGTTTCTGTTGATGTCCACAGGCGGGGGAGATAAGAAGTTCGGCGACAGATGCGAGAGTTCATCGGAATGCGGGGTAAGGGGTGGTTTTTGCGACCCATCCAAGAAGACCTGCCAGTGCAAGCCAGAATTTCAAGTCACTAATCACATAGACAGATGCGGCAGAGGTGAGTAAAAAGTTGCTTCAAGTTTATTACAAATTGTGTTTTTGCTCAACATATGCATGCAGACACGGGCAATTTATTTCCTTTCCGGAAACGAGTTATTTTTCAAGAGTCCGCTCCTTTCCAGATCAAAAGTCCGTCAGCAATCACGTTCTCTTTCCTTTCATGCGGAGCTCGCAAAGCAATGCCCTCGAGTACACGATCAAGTGAAAAGTCAGACTTATATAACACACCCTTTGCTGTTCTGTCGATCACGTTCTGCTCTGTATGTGTATTCACTCAAAAATATTTTAGTAATTGGTGCATTGGACTTACATAACAACAAGGTAAAAAGAAAATGATTTTCTGACATAATTTGCTGAAATCGATCATTTCCTTGAAATTACACTTTTCTTCTACGAATTCATCTTTAATGTTTAGAGCCAAAACAAAATAATTTTATAAAAACTTTATCTGAAACTACCTTTTCATGAGTTCGCTAAATCTTAACTTTGATAAACTTGAATAAAAAACCGGCTGGGCCCTTCTTTGCCCTAATTTTTTAAATCTTAATTTCAAGTGATAAAAATTGCAATAAATCTCTTTCAAAGGAATTTGCTTAAATCTTTATCTTTTAATTTGAAAATGGAAAATTTTCAATTTGTAATATTCACTTATACTGTGGAAATGTGAAAATTACATTTTCGTCGCTGATGAAAATTATTAAATCAAAGCCAGATTTCAATTCGTGCCACCAGAAATTAATTATTAACTACATCAATCTTATCAAAACTGGTGATTGCAAACAAAATTAGTTTATTTCAATAATATTGCCAAGAGATTGTAAGTATTTTTCTGATATTAAATTTTATGACATATAATGAACAATAATTATAAACTTCAATGTTTTCTAAAAATTGTATCTGATTGTTTTGCATTCACATTAAAATCTTATAATGCGTTTGTAATCCTTTGTAATTTACAAGCTCCCTTTCATGTATGTTAAACCAATAATAGATCTAAACTTTATACATCAGATGAGTTAACAGACAAGTTCTAACTTCAGTCTGAATAGAGGACCGCGCTTTTAAGCCTTGTAATCCCAGTCTTGTAATGAACGTCAGCGAACATGTAAACTTTGAAACATATCAAAGAACGGAATCTACGCAAAGTTTGAGTGCCTTTAATTAAAACGCAGAGTCTCGAGCCCGCCTTCAATTTGTTTTGCACAGGCGAATTGCACAAATTTTGGTGCCGAATGCGACGAAACTTGATCCCCGGGTTCGATTAAATGCAAATGGAGGTGCGTGCCGATGCCAAGCTCGGATAAAAGCGCGCGCTTATTGCTTTAATTACATGAGTGGGTGGTGCGCTCGGCTGCTGCCGGGATTAATACATAAAATATCAGCCGTCCAACCAAATTGGCTCACCGTGAAGGCCGCCTGGCGATGCTTTACAATTTCCGGCACGGATGATTACCCAAACCAGGCATGCATAATCCATCCCGCTTTTGATCTCGTTACCGTCGGATCCCTTGTAGTTTGCAAACCGACTGTCATTATTGCATTGCGTCACTCCCGCTAATTGTTCGGGTCTTAACTTGCTTTGAGCTTTGCAGACTTTGGTCCGCGGTGTGCGTCACGTGGATCAGTTTCAATTAGAGCGAAAGCGAATTGTTAGAATTTTAAGTATAAAATCTGAATTTGTCAGATTCAAATCTATTAATTTTTAAATTATTAAAAATTATTTAAAAAGTTATTAAAAAAACAAAATTGATTCTATAATGATCTTTAAATGAATTATTACATGATATTTGCGGAGTAAAAAAAAATCGTCACTATCTTGAAATTTTTAAACAAGTCTATAATAAAATTTAAGTACATCATGCTGGATCTTTTTGCTTATCAGAAATTAAAATCAATGAATAAAAAATTTAAAAAGAAGCAAACCCAAAGAAAATGTAATCAAATTTTTTTATGGCTAATTTGGTTGAAAGAAAGGTGGTTTTTTTCTTGGCTGAAAGCTTTTGCAACCACGGCGTAGCTCGGAGAAATAAAACCCAAGCCCATCCATTACGGAAAGCATCTCTTTTCTCTTTCGCCCAGCAGCAATCAATTTAATCTCGTACTTGTCTTGTTTCTTTAAAAAGCTCACTTTCGCACGCCTTGCGGCGTCGTATCTTTTAACTAGTTGTTTTCATCCAGACTCGCAGACTAGACAAGGGTGGAATCATCCACATTGTCGATCAATACAAAGACCCTTCCTAATGACATAAATGACACTCGCGGTGAAAATGTAGGTGGCAACTTTGGACCAACTGCTGATTCAATTAAATTTATTCAGCGGACGCTACGCAATTTACCCGATTGATACGCAAATGACCTGGCTGATGATCCAATTTGCAAGCCCAATTACCAGACCGGCTCGGCCGCTCGGTGGTTTGCAGGTTGTGCAGATCTGTATAGATTCGAAACAAGCAGCGGTAGCACGCAAGACTCGCTCGTTTCCCAAAGTCAAGTGGGGTGCCTGATGCATCAATACATTACAGCTCCTTTGTTGTGCAACTAACAATCAGAAATTGTTCAACGACTGTCAGGTAATTTCACTCTGCTGCATCATTACAAAATCTAAATAAGAGTATAAAAGATTATTTCGTTACAAATTGACAATTTTGGACTCTAATTATGGTCAATTTTAATTAATTTTTTGAATTAAAAGTACGTTTGTTACAATTTTCATACAATAGTAATAATAATAATATTTAAATCAACTTCAACTAGGTTATAAGGTCTTTTAAATAAAATTAATTTGCCAGCCTTTTTCTTAACTCACGCATGACAATCAATGATCAAAAATTTTATAAAAAAAGTCTGGTGGTTTCCTTTTTATATTTCTCAAAGTCAAATAATTATAATAAGTTGATTACACTATAATTTTGTATGTTTTCAATTTGATTTAAAACTACAAAAGTCATTTTTATTTTGTGCTATTTAAAAGCCTCTTATTTTTAATATTCAAATATATTGAAAACGTAAAGGAATAGCAACTGAATCAAATTTCCGCTTGCACCCAATACTACGATATATAATATACACACTTAGCAATATCAATCCACCTGCAGGCTTTTGCGAGACTCAATATCCATTTTGTCGATCATTGTTCAGAATGTGTCACGTAGCAACTCGATTTGCAGGCATAATTGAAAGCTGCCGCGCGATAATGGATGAACCATCCGTGAACCAATAACTTTTGACGAGTTTCAAGCGAGCTCCATTGAATCAATATTCTCGCGCGTTCATATCAACTCTTGCAGTAAATGCGCGCGGAATGAGCTGTAATAATAATTACTGCTGGAACAACGCGCGCCCGACAACGGCGGCGGCGGCATCCTGTTTGGCGACAAGAAATTATTCAAAGTCATCAAACTCGAAGCAGACATGCATGCCAGCCATCCACAGCCGGCTTGTATTATCCAGACCGTTGCGCAAAACTCGTCATAAATTTTATATTAATCTAAACGAAGCACCAAAAGTAACTTTCAAATTCTTATTAAATTTTGAACGTTTTCCTCCGTGAAAAGATTCTAAAAATTGCAGGAATATAAAATTCATAAATTTGATATATTTTCTCTCAAACTTTTCAAACTTTCTTTCTTATAATTATAAAATAAAATAAAACAATCTCTGTTTATTGAAATTTTAATTTGAAAACTTTTGGGAAAATAAATGAAGTTTATGATATCATTGAGAAATCTTAAATATAAAAAGCATCAGCCCATTTTCTTTTTACTTTGAATGTTTCTTTGACGAATGGTCACTGCAAGACTCATAACGTTTTTTGTCATATTTCATGCTAAACCTTAATGCAGAGCTTTTTGTCATATTTTTTTCTGAAATTTGAAAGCCCCCTGTTGAGGTACATTTTTTATACATCTAGAATATTCACTTTCTGACAATACATTTTTCTCCCACCCAAGATTCTCTCATTATTCATCTAATTAATCTTCCGCTGACTGCAGCCATATATTCAGCGAAAAAGGCGAAAGTCAACTCTCGAGTAATTTTTTCCTAATTCCAGCAGGGGTTCGGGCGCTCGCTGGAAAGGAAAATTAAAACTGCCCTGCAATTTACTACCACTAATGGTCAAAAATGCGGCGCCGCTGCCAAAATTCCCAACAGTTACGGAACGATGTTTGGCCCTCTGAGTTGGCAAGGGTGCGCTTTTTCCTTCACTGCCGCACTCCTCGCAGCAAATAAATGTAAACTGGCCCAGAACGAACATATTCGAAACAATAAACAGAGACAGACAGAAAGGAAAGCGGCGCACAAGGATATCGATCGTCCTAATAGAAATATTTGGCCGCGCGGACCGACGGACCGACGGACAGACAACGCGATACACCATTACCTTCTGTTATTGTCCCTCGTGAAATGTTTTATCGCTGCGCGAAAGGCTAATTTCCAGCGGTCTATGTTCACCAGCAGCAGGATTGGGAAAATGGTCTATAATAGATGGTGGTTTTGTTTTTCAGAGGCTGTTAATGCAGCTCATTGCACCTGCAATATGTGCCCATTCATCAATAAAAGATTTGTTGTACATTTTTGCACAGTATAATTTTTTTATGAAAATTACTTTTACTTGTAAATTTAATAAAAAAATGTTATTAATGTAATATTTTTCAAATATTTTTTTGTTAAAATTTATTTTCGTTTTAAATTGTTTCTTATCAATATATTTTTTTTGCATTAATTTTAATTGACAAAATAAATTTTTTAAATATGAAGTAATTTATTTATATGATATTTCATAAATTATTTTACAATGAATAGTGATCAGCATGTAAAAACCGTTATAATGTTTAAAAAGCAAAATATGAAAGACAAAATATTTGTAACGCATTATTAGCAATTAAAATTTATTAATTATTACGATCATTATAGCATAAAATACAGAAAAAGTGAAATAAAATTATGTTTTCAAAAATACACTGCTACTACTTTTGGTATGAAACGGGTAAATTTAATTTAAATTTTATTTATAACCAGTAAACTAGTACACATAAAGCGGTTTTTGATTTAGCGCAACATTAGTGCAAGCGCCATTAGCAGTTTTTCATTCGACCAGGCGACACACATTTCACATTCGATTAAGTTTCCAAAGGTCAGTGGCTGATATTTACAGAACCGCGCAATCAATCACGGCTCGGTTTAAATTTTTATCGTCAACCGACACGGCATGCAAATCGATTTCAAACTACTTATTTCACTTTCCTGTCGCTCGCACAAAAACAAAATAATCGGCTCGAGTAATCTCCAGTCCGTTTGTTGTTTCACCACAAGAGAGAGAGACAACGAAGGCAAACCAAATAATCGTATAATGCCGCAAAACACAACAACAGTCCCGCATACATTTCGTTCCCGCATGCGAATTTTCCATTTTAATATCTCTGAATTTGTATACGCATAAAAGAATTGCGCTGGAAAAGGACAAAGAAGGCCCTTCAAAGAAAAGGTGCGTCTCTCTCGCTTATATTGCCCTTTTCCACTCTAGAAGCTCATATGAAGAATTTTTGGCGTGCCAACATATTGGAGACGCACGCCCCTTGTGTACATTCGCCCAAATATGCTTTTCACAGATTTGTGCTCCCTCGCTCCAAAAATTTCTATGAGGGTTGGTGAAAGTTTGTTTTCATTTCGCTGTTTTATTTCATTCTCAGTCTGCTACGATGAATTTATTTGGCAGAGTGGATTCAAACTCCGCCGGGACCCGTTTTGGGATTAAAGTTTGACTTTGTTTTTTGCCGGCCGTGCACTCTGTAATTTCCTCTCTCGGCGCGTGTCTTGTTGCAAAGAGTTAATTTATTAATGGTGAACAAAGACAGAACGAGCGAGAGCTCTCCTGGAGGCGATAATGAAAAGAGCAAATGTTTGTTTGCACGCGGAAACCTCTGGCAGCAAAACGCTGCTCCTTAATGAAATATTTAAGTTGGTGGAAATTCATATTTCGAGCAATGCTTCCGTGATTTTATTTCGCCCAAGAGAGACTTCTTTATATGAGGTGCGCGTTTCCCTCCTGAGCTCTAGAGCGTATAAATCAAAGATTTACGCTACTGCCAGCGAAAACGTAAAATTTAACTTTTACTTTGTGCCAAGGGAGGTTTTGGCGCTGTCAGGAATAAAAAGTGGCTTTTCTCACTCGGTCACAAAAAAAAGATTGGGTTTGAAAAGATTCAGAAGGCACGGTTGAATGTGTGTGGATAAATTGGGAAATTTATGCTTTCAATGTATATGAACAATCTTAAATTCTTCGTAAAGTCAAAATTCCTCAAAATTATTTTATTTATGAGAAATTTAAAAACTGATGCCACTATAAAAGCTCTCAAATTTCCCCAATGGCAGCCAATGTCTTTTCAAATAAATTGTTTTCAATAGTTGAATGTAAACAATGTGACGTAAAAATTTGGGCAAATAAACAACAACAATAATAATAATGCAAAAAGCTACTAATAGCTGCTAATAAATTAACAAAATCATGAATAATTAATTGTTCAACCTTTATGTATGTGATCCTTAGGTTACAAATAATTCATATGGAGAGCTCTCACAAATATGTAACGATGCTTATTTAAATATAACAAAAATAATTGGAAGATACGGATCATGCTTTGGCGAGCAAATTTTGGAAGTGGTAGTGGCGAAAAAAATTGACCTCGCATAATAGTTTTCACCCTAAAAAAGTATTATGTATTAAAATTTGTCACAAACCTCATCCCTGACCATAAATTTGATAATCACAACACAATATTCAGACAGAGCACAAATTCAAAAACCATTAGGCTCGGAATAAACTGATACTAAATCGTCAAATTTCCATTTGAAACGCTCCTCTTTGACTCTGCGCCACACAATCGGCAGGAAAAATAGCACCGTCGTGGGCAATTACATTCTCATTACGCCAGAGCAGTAAAACCGAAAATGCGTTTTTGTTGATAGCAAAGTGGCGAGTAATTTGCATGTAAATGCGAACCCGCTTTGGCACAGGACTGATGATAGGATGGTGAAAAAATTGGGCGTTGTGTGTCGCCCGGGCCGGCGTCACAGGTGGCGGGCGGACGAGCCTAGCTGCAGGTGATTTTCCCCGAAGAGCGGCTCTTGTTTGTCTACGGAATGGCCTGGAACACGCGCGCGGACGGCAAACAAAGCTCGGCTGAGCCGCCGAGATAAGTGGCAAACAAAACTGTGTACTTTTTTACTGCCGCCGCTGCACCTACAACCTAATTTGTCGTCTGAATTTTTCATCTGTTCCGAGACCGACTTGCCTCGCGCTCCGGTGAATAATTTACTCCCCCGGGCGGTGGATGGATGCGAAGCCAGTGCATATTGTCATCTTAAAAAACAAAAAAGTTACGCAAAGAACTGAGACGCATTTTACTTGCAGAATTCAAAATTTTATTTACCTCTGAAAACTTATTTGAAAAAAAAAATCTAAAAAAAAAATGAAATCATGACAAGGATTATAATTGAATATCTATTTAAAATTTAAACTAAAATTGTTTTCATACTGTAAATGTCATGCTATTTCTGGCTGTCGCAACGCAGGTGATAAAAACCTAGGTAACCCAAAACCGCAATTAATCAACGGCCACGTTCAGTCGATCGCCCGACAAACCGAAATCGGATTACGCGGTGTACTCGATGCCCCACGAACAGTGCACATATTGTGTGTCTCTATAATTTTTTTCCGACAACAAATAATGCTAACCAGCTGGTGCACTTCAATCAGACATTCATTAGCATTTGATGCAGCCGCAAAACAGCGCCGCATAATCGCAAAATTGCTTCTAAGATGAATAATTCATGAATTTTCTTGTGACTTGCAGAGGCGTCCGTGAACGAGAGCTGCTACTTCAACGAGCAATGCGAGAACGTGCTGTACAACACTGAGTGCAGGGACAACCGGTGCGTCTGCAGGTTTGAGATGACCGCCGTCTACAACTCTGACGGCACCGTCAAATGCGTCTGTGAGTACAATCAACATATCTTATCTTAATTTTCGCTATAACTCCTGAAATTTATCTTTTGCACACTAGAGTGATATTGATGAATTGGTGGTAAATGTTTTTATTTTTCAAAAAATATTTTAAAATAATGAAATTTTTGAAAGTTTTGTTAGCGAATTTTTATTCATCAGTTTAAAGTTCAAGTTCAGCCTTTTACAGTGTAACAAAAAATTTGCCAGGGGAAGGAGTGAAAATTTTTAACAATAGATAAATTAAAATATACTTAATTATTACTTTGACATTTATAAAAATAAATTGATGGCATAAGTCTTCATTTTCCAAGTTAAAATTGAAAATAATATAATATTAATAAATAATTTTTGCAACACAAATTATCGATTAAAAATTTTCATATAACCACAGTGAGTTTATAATTCTAATTTGTTACCCTATGGAAAGATCTTAACCAACACCGTGATAGGGGTGTTGACTGTTTCTCATTCTGCTAACAGTAAGCCAGAGGCGACGGGTAGGGCGTGCGGAAAGTAATTGCACTGTTAATAACCGCTCTAGCTTGCTCAGGACGAAAGCAATCTTTTGCCACTCTGCCCTGCAAACAAGCGAAAAATCTTTCTTCGATCGCGCTCGCGGCTCATTGCTCTCTCACATAAAGCGTTTAGACGCAATTTGTTCTGGCGGGGGCTCCATAATTAACGCTGCTCATCACAGCCCGGGCGGGTTAATTGAGGGATGCAATTTTCGCTCGCCGCGTTTTCCAGCAAAAGGCCCTTCAGACTTCTGTTTGGACATTCATTTTTAATTGAGCTCGCGAGCGCCCCGACTGCTGAATTTTTAACTCTGTGGTCGGCGCGCCGTACCTGTGGCCTCTTCTCCCCCCCCCCCCCCCCACCCGCCACTGGCAGGTGTAGCATCCATTTTTTGCATTTCGAATGGTGTTGTAAAATTGGTGCAAAATGGCTGTAGAGGTGCAAATTTTCCAGCAAATAACAGCAACGATGAACCAGATTACAAAAAATAGAGCGAAAATTTTTTTTATCTCTTCGATGAAGTTAAAGAAAATTTATAATTATGTTGACTAATCAAAAAAAATGCCCATTAAAAATTTTGAAATTGAATCAAAATACTAATAATATTTAAGAATTAAAATATACACAAGAGTTTTCATGATGTACAATTTTAATCTGCGTGTACTTTTCACATGAACAAGATAATAAATGTGATACAACCGTCCGAAAAAAAAACGGCAAAAATTTAATTCCACGCATCATGCAAGCTTCTGCAGCCGCATAATATGTTGTTTTTTAATTCCCAACAAAAGACCCGTCGTCTGCAAAACAATAAACTCGGCGCGCCAGTCCGGCTCGTGTTGCGGCTGTGAAAAGAAAAACTAATTTTCCAAATGAGTAGGAAATTGCGCGTGCAATTAAAAAGAGCATGCACGTCGCATTAATCAGCCGTATGGATGAAGGCCCGCGGGAAAAGTGCCTTTTGATATTTTAATAACTTCGCGCCGGTTCCAGAGTAAAATTGGCGAAACGATTAAAGGCAACTTACGTTCTTTTATTTTGAGCGAGAATTAATTACGTCGTTTCTAGGCAAGCGCCTGCCTCTCAAAGAGCGTTTGCCGTTTCGCGAAATGCAAAACGCTGGCAACGAGAAAGGTCAAGAGATGTGCTCCATTTGTTAGAGCAGACGTCGCCGTGCCACTCAGGAGACCGGGAATGAAAATGCGTGCTCTCATTTTTCAGAATTATGCACTCGGTGCGCCCACTTGAGCTTTTTCCCTGTCAAGGGTGTTTTTGCCCCCGTGAATAAATAAACGACGCGAAGCAAAAAAAAAAAAACACAAAAACAGCTCGCGCTGCCACTTTCCCGCGAAAATTGAATGTGAACCCTTGGAGATTTAAGATGCTGGAAGTACTCAACGTGAAAAAAAACTCAACCTCATAGAAAAGGCCAAAGGTTAATTCACCACGCGCACTTTGCGTTTAAAAGTATTTTACAAGACAAAACGAAGGTTTAGTTAAGTTTTAATGATCCTTATTTTTATTCATTTTTCTTGATTTACCATAAAAATCACAACATTTTGGAAATTTATTATTCTAATCTAATAATAAAAATTCAAGTTTAAAGTGGAACCAGAGAACAAAGGTCAAAAGTAAAAGTCTCAAAGACGAGTCAATTTTGTAATTAAAACCAAAGCTTTTTATGTATATAAATTTTACTACCTAATTTTATCTTGTTGCTCACAAATAAAGATAAACATACAGTCCTCCACCAGATTGATATTTTCTATTTTCCAATATACATTTGCTCTCCGCCAGCACTCTCAATCATTTGACTGAAAGCAACTCAAGTGCTCTTGTCACGCCGCATCCAATAAAATTTCCAATTCAAATAACAGCCGACCGTTGATGATCTGTCTCTCTCCCTGTGCACACACATGCACGTCCGCTGATGGCAGCCAGGTTTAATAACGTCGTGCCATTACCACCGAGTGCCTATTGCAGGAATATCCTCTTCTATCCTAGAACCTGAGTGATGGAGTCACGTTTCGTTGCCGCAAGGAATTCGGCCAGGTCGCCATCGAGATGGATAACACGTTCGCTAGAGAGGCCACGTGCACCCATGTGGATGGAGCTACTTGAGCATCAATGCAATGCGAAAAATAAAATCAAGAAAGTTTGAGCTTGCCTCACAAAATAAATTTAAACTTCAATCCAATTTTCTTAACTTAAGAAAAATGAAGAAAAATTGTTTTTTCACTCTAGTTTTTCTACAATTCTGGTTAGAGATACAGAAAATATAATCATTAAATGAAAAAAAAATTATGAAGTAAGATTAAAATTATATTTGATTCCATCATAACTCTCACTATTATTTAGTTGCAAATGATTTTTTTTTACATAAAATGGAAGCTCAAATCTGAATTTACAAAATTAGTCAATAGAACATCCGTATAATTTACAGCAGTTATAGACTTTTATGCAATTCTCTGAAACTCGATTCTGTGTCCGTTCCCAATAAACATTAATATTAGAACACCACTCGGTGCTCAAGTATCGTGACACCATTACAGTTTAATGCAAATTTCCCATTAATGGCGAAACTTTGGATTGCCAACTGATGTCCTGCTTTTCATTTACATTACTTAATGGGCGCATGCAACTTGAGAAGCGTGAGTGTATTTTTGCAAGCAATGGTCGTTCCTGCCGCGGACAGGAATCACCGTTAATGGCATGTGAGTGCACCTCAAAGCTTAATCGATCAGCAATGGTTCGTGCCTGCTCCGCTTGCCAACAGCTTCTCCGCGGTTGGAAAAGAAAAAGGACAGCGAAAGATGCGAGCAAAATCGCCTTCAATTATTGATTCGCAGGAACTTGCCAACGGCGATCATCATCACATGACCTCTAATGACCTCAAATAAAGCCAAATGAAGTGGCGGGCCCTTTACGAACATAAAATAATGATAAAAAAAAAACTCGCGTATAACTAGACCAAAGTAAAGAAAAAAGTCAAATAAAGTCCTTGCTTGCCAAAAATCGTTCAAATAAATATGGAAAAAAACTTGCAGGTGCGTGTTGACGTAGACATAAAAATTCATATCGAGTTCCCAAACAGTGAAGTGGTCGTTTCCCTGTTGTGGAAATCGATTAATAACTTCCTCCCAGTGTGTATATGAGCAATTTTTCTTCCCGAAAGAGCCAAGAGTCCGAGCGTCCATAAATACCAGAACATGATGGGCGACGAAGCTGGAAAGTGATTTAGTGTTCGGAGCCAAGAAGTGCACCCTGAGCAGATTTATGCTCTCGAGTTGCTCAGGGTTTCCCGGCCGGTTCGCGTGTTTTTCGGAGAAAGGCGAGTAAACGGTGCGCGTCACGCAACCGGCCTTTTCTCCTCCGCCCCAATGGTATGAGTATTTATGCCGAAAGACCCGTGCTGCGGTAGAATGCGCCAACGGGACAAGAAGTTGCCGCTTATTTCTGCCCATAATCGTGGGCGTCAAATGTAATAACGCGTCGCTCTCTCAAATGCGTTTTGTGCGTGGAGAATTAATGATGGAACGGATGGTCTCGCGGGCGAGCCGGAAACGACGGTGTTCTCCACAACGCCTCAGATTATAATTGCCCAAATTGATTCCCCAGAGAAGCGAACCGCTCGTGAAAATGCAGCAAACGTGCCGCTTCCGGCGCTCTGGCAAAGTTGTTCTCAAAGTTTCTGCAATTTATGTTGAGGGTGATTCAATTTTGGCGTCAGAATGGATGAAAGGGAACATATTTACGGGGAAAGTTTGAAAATTTCCCCAGCAACACTGACTGACATACAAAAGGCACACGGTCATTAATATTGCCGTTAAGTGCAAGGATAATTTATTTTATTTGTAACAAAAATCTATTGAATCAATAAAATATATTAGGAAAAATATTGCCTGAGTTTTTTATGCTGTTAAAAATTTAAGTTCTTCATGAAAATTTGTGAAAATTAAATTTTTTAACGAGTGATTCAGGAAAAGTTTGCATAATTTTCACATAAACAGGTTGTTTAAAATCTAAAAGAAATTCTTTCATTATTTTGCAAAATATTTGTGAAATCGGCCAAAATATGACAATCCCTTTTAACATCAAATTATTTTTATTAATATTTTCCTTTTTTTTTTAAATTATAATTATTTGATTTATACCTGAAAATGTGCTAAATTTATATGATGCTGCAAAATGCTTATTATTTAGCTGGGAGGAAAACAATCTAAATTTCCACCTGTTATAAAAAAAATAATTTCATTTCAACTTTTTTTTTAATTTTTTGCGTTCTACATTATTTTTCCACACAGCATGCCATTTTTACTCCAGGGTAGAGCATCAATTCGCAAATAAGCCAATTCAGCTTTGTAACTAAACTCGGTGTGAAGCGAACAAAGCGGGGAAAACGGGGAAAACAGGCTCAGTAATTTGATATCCGCGCCTCGCACGGTTGGCGAGCTGATTTATTAAAACGGCGTG